CATGAAGTAACATTGTGAGGATGTTTTACAGAAGAGCTTCCTATGTTGTGTTCTCTTAACAAAACCCCCAAAACATCTTTGGCGTATTGCAAGAAAAATGTTCTATGTTTGTTAATGTGTCACATTAAAGGAATATTTCATCCTCTTGCAAAGCTGGTTTGAGAACGTTCTACTATCGTTATCCTGTAACACAATCTGCGGCCTCGACAACATCCTAAAAACATTTTCTGAATGTTGCAGTTAAAAATGATGCCTTTTTTAAAATGTTCCACTTTATGGGAGCATTGTTTGAAATGATAAATATCCACTGAGCATTAGATTAAAATAGATGAATGTTTTCTTTACATGACAGATGGATGCAGAGTAGAATACATCCAACTGAGAAGTAGAACTATAAAATGTTCAAGTACCTAAATATAAATATCTCTAAATTGTACAAACACTGAAATAAATGTGCGTAGTTAGAATCCCCTACTGGTATAAACCCCTATAAATAATATATTAAACTGTTGACAGATGTGTGTTCTGTCTACGTGTAGAACAATCTGAGTTACCCGCTCCAGGTTGAGGATGGTGGCCATCTGTGTGAGACGAGCGAACTTATCCCTGATGGTCCAGGTGGTCACAGTGGTGAGATACGCCACAAGAGACCGGAGCTCTTTATCGAACTGCAGCCCGCCGAGCTACAACAAAGGGATCAGGATGATGAAAAACACCAACACACCTGTGCATACATTATGTATTCAGTCATATTTTCCTCAAGTGTTTGTGTCTTAGGGGCTGTATGTTGTGAAAACAGAACGCTGCTCAAAATAGGACAATGCTAACAGGCCAAAGGGAAGCATCCTCTCCTGCAGGCCTTCATTAATAAATCACAGCTCGAGGCTTTTTCTTCACGTGTGTCAGGGATGTGGTGCAGAGGAAGCTCGCTGCCACCTTGTGGCCGAGCTCAGCTGCTCACCCTGCTGAAAGAGCACTTCAGGACTGTCTTCTCCATTTCAATAGATATCAAGCTGGTCATCAGGCTGGTCAGCGTGTCGTAGATGACGGGAGAGAGGGCCGTCTGGGGAAGCAGAGGAATAAAGATCAGAAAGCAACAACGGAAGGGAAGAGCAGAATTATAGTCTGAAAGTTGAGAATACCTTAAACTCTGCCATGAGCTGCTCCAAGTTAACGATGAGCTGCTGCACCCAGGGGTCATTAGCTTCATAGTCGTTAAACTCCTCCTGTAAAGATTAACTACAGTTACAGCAACGTGCTTCATGAGCTCTGACTAATGTCTGTGCAGGATTGCGAGGCCTTTACCTCTTCGATGTTATGTGAGATGGACAGGAAGCTGCTGATCCACGGTTTCACCTGAGGCTTTATGGCTGTTGTGTTTAACTCAGTCAGACCCTCCTGTGAAACAAAATCAGTGGGAAACTTTTACCACTGGATGCTGTTAGCCAAAGAGGGAAAGAGCAGGAAGAGTGGATCCTGTACATGTTCTACAACAAATGCTTGCTAAAGAAAAAAACACCTGCCGCAGGACTAACATACGAAAAACCCAAAATCAGAAATGTTTGGTTTCTTAAGTCTCCCCACACAACAACTAGAAGCACGTCATTAAAACACAGAGAGATCTTATTAAAGCCAGACTGTGCTTCTTACTCTTCAGTGCCTTGTCAAATAAATAAGACATTCTCCTCCACTGCACCGGTGACAACTAACAACGGCTCCCCATTATTTTTTTCATTGTCTTTATTGATTTTTTTTTTTACAACAATTTAACAAATGTGCTCATTTGTTTCAAACTCCTCCAGGAGTGTACATCTATGAACAACAATACAGAGACTGCAACACAACAACAGTGGGTTCTTAAACTTCCCAATCTGAAGCTAATATACAACTACTAGATCAGTGTGTGTGTCTGTTTGTGTGTGTGTGTGTGTGTGTGTGTGTGTGTGTGTGTGTGTGTGTCCAACCTGTAAGAGATCCTTGAACTTCGTGGACGTGCTGACGAGGTCGGACAAACAGCTTTCAATCTTGGCTTGTTCACCAGAACCAGCCCCCTGACTGAACAACTTGGAGCAGTCGTTCTGCCGGCAAAAGAACAAAAACATCGGTTTTCGAGCAAACTATAAATAACAGAGTGATAAGTAGAGAGGCAGAGCTTCAGCACAACTTACTTCTAGGTTCCTCTTTAAAGTTGTGATGTTCTCACTGCACACCTCGACATTATTCAGAGTCACCTGAGTGGGAAAAGACAGAGTGTGAAGGAAGGATTCTTACAGCCACTGTTGTTCTGTATGACTCAGTCCTATTCTGCCTGACAGAAAAACACAATCTGCTGAAGTTCAACTGGTAGCTACAAAGCTTTAAGTGTTTCTTGCTACTGGACACATTTTTGAAGTTCGTGCATCCTTCAGCAAAGATCTATTTTAAAAACTAAACCACTGCTCATCTCTCTTAAATTCTGAAACCTTATAGTCTCTCAACCTCAAAAACTGCAAGCAGGTTTGATGTCTTTTCCAAATTGTCAAATCTACGCCATTTATCAGAGCCAGAAACTGTAAAAACAAAGAAAGATTGTTGGATTTTGAACCTTGGGAGCGAAAAGTTAAACAAATATAAGTTTAAAATTGTGATATTCCAGTAAAATCGCTTTATTCTCAATGTCTCATTAAAAACCTTTGCCGAAAATAAACCGTCTGCATGAACCAGATTCATTAATAAACAAAATATTGTACTTTTTAATCTCTGTGAGGTTCAGGGCTTTAAATTGCAGCGAAAAATGATCAGTGAGGAAAAATGTGACAGAAGACAAAAAGCCCAGAAAATGCTTTGAGTTTGGAGGGTGAAGCTACTGCTGATATCTTTCAAAAATCACTTGGACAAAAAGCGAGAGCGATTAGTTTTCATCACAGTCGGATCAAATAATTTCTAAGATACTGTCTGAGATCGGGGCTGCAAGGTGGCTCGGTGGTTAGCACCGTTGCCCTAGAAGGTTGTTGGTTTGCGTCCCGGTGAGGACACCCTGGATCTTTCTGTGTAGAGTCTCCATGTTCTCCCCGTGCAGCGTGGGTTCTCTCTGGGTTCTCCGGCTTCCTCACAAAAACATGTTGAGGTTACTTGGTGATTCTAAATTGTCTGTAGGTGTGAATGTGAGTGTGCTTGGTTGTCTGTCTCAAAGTGTAGCCCTGTGATAGACTGGTGACCTGTCCAGGTGAACCTGCCTTCACCTTAAGACAGCTTGAATAGACTCCAGCCCCCCACGACCATAGTGAGGATTAAGTGGTGTATAGATGATGGATAGATGGATGGATGGATGTCTGAGATGGAAGCTGAGATGTGTGTGAATGTGTGTTACCAGAAAGGCTGCCTTGGCGTTTTCGGTGCTCTCGATTCCCATCGTGTTGAACTTTCCCTGCTGTAAGCTGCTCTGCATCAGACTGACCGCGCTGCTGACGCCACGCTGGATGTCCTGCAGCGTTGTCGCCGGGAAGCCCTGCCGCAGCTTATTGTACAACACCTCCCTGCCCGGTGAGAGGAGACAAGGACAGAACAGGCGTGAGATGTGAAATAATGTCTTTGTTTTTGTAATAATACTAAATTTATATCAACTGGAGAGACAAAGTGTGAGCACCTGAAGTCAGACTCCAGCACAGAGTTAGCGTGGTTGATCATGGCGCAGAGGCAGTCGATGCTGGAGCTCGATAAAGCTCGACTGATGCACTTCTTCACAATGTAGAAACAGTCGTCCACCATGCTGCTGGTCAGCTGACCCTTTTCACTTGTGTCCATAGTGACAGCCTGGGGGCAGAATAAGTCAGTGAGCAGTTCAGCACAATCACACCTGGATTTACTACATAACAAAGACATGCAGAGTATTTTCATGTGTTATCTGCGTATATAAAATGATGTTTTATGTGGTTGTTGTTGTCTTGTCAAACTTTTGTCAAATGTTCCTTTTGTCAGATGAGATCCAGCAGAATCAGCGGTATTGTCTTTTTTATTCCACATATTGTTTTTCCTTGTTAAATCTTTGCGCCTACATTACCCACAATGCAATGCATCCACCAATAGTTAATAGCTAAAATAGACTGCTTTCTGCTAGTAGCGGCTAATACACCCTGGAGCTGCTAGCTTCAAGCAGAGATGAGGAGCAGGTTGTGGAGGTTCGGTGAGTTAACTTCCACCTAAATATACACCTCTAGAGTTTATTTCATTTTCAACCTTGAGACACATTCTAAATAAATTGCCGCCACAATCAACGCAGCTCCTTGTACAGCAACGAAAGGATTTATACAGCTTTTCACATACATCGTAGTACATCCTGCACCTAAACAGATTCTAATGTGTAAAATCCCTCAAGTTTCCCTTTAAAGTCCCTCTGTGGCCACTGAATAAACCCTAAAAACTCCTCTATGAAAGAAGAACACTATATGACAAGATAGAATACTTGATTTCACAGTGGGAGGTCTTTACTAGGTTTGTCAAATAAACAACACCAGGCTATAGATATAACAGTATACAATACTGACCTTGTTAACAGACTCCCTCATGTAGTATTCTTCCATTGGAATATAGTAGCCGATCAGCTCCTGCATCGTCCGGCTCAGCAAACAGTGTTTCAGGAGCTTCTCTACATTCTGCTGATGCTCTGGAAGTTCAAAAATGTAAGAAGACAAATATATTTTCATCAATCCCACGTCTAAAAAAGGGTTCTTTGGATGTAAAGTAAGACATTCATATAAAGCCACCTTGTGTGACGCTCTTAGCATCCGCAACTTCAAAGTCGGCCATCATGCGGCGACGTAAAAAGCGAAGGTAGAGCTCCGCCCTCGCGTTCATCAGCGTTACTTCCGCCAGTACGGGGTCCAGCTCCCTGTTTGTATGAGGACAGAGGTGTAAATAAATAAAAACCCAGCTCAGACACACAGACACACACACACACACACCTTGGCTCGATCCGCTCTCCCGGCAAGCTCTTCATCATGCTGCTCTGGACGATCTGAAACTACAAAACGGAATCGAGGTCACAGCAAGCCCAGGTATGCCGCAAAAACAACCAGTTAATGCAGCTCAGTCGTCATGAACACCTTGTTGTGGTATCCTCTCTGCTGGATGAACTTGTCGACTATTTTCTGGGCCTGACGGTCACACTCCTGCTGCAGGTGAGTGATGAGTGTGTACAGATGACCTGGACCGTAAAACGTCTCCACTATCGGCTGATGAGTCTCAACAACACGAGCGATACCTGCAAACACACACCAGCACATCAGCGGAGGCCCCTAATGTGCAAAGGAGAATGCACGCGCACACGCACATACCCACACACACACACACACACACAGACACACACACACACAGATTGCTTTCTCACCTTCCAGCAGCAGTGTCAGAGTGTCTGCAAAAATCAGCAGAGCTCTCTTCTCGCCCAGATCTCCTCCTGTCGCTAACAGCAGGTTCTCCTCAGCTTTGGAGGCAAGCTGTGTGATGGAGTGTGAAAGATTCAGAGAGAAGAATTCCTGATATGATGTGTTTAGAATCACAACGACACACTGCAGCATATCTGACTAACAGACAAAGATTGTTGAGAATAAACTGAAATTACTGGATTGATGGAATTTCAAATGACATTTGATGGAATTTGTGAGCTGCAAACAACAAAAAGTGCACACAAATAAAAAGCTTTAGAATATCAGTACCTCGACCGAGGTGCAACAGTTCTCTACAGCTCTCATTTTTTTCATTTTAAGTGTGCGTACATTTTAAAGCTGCATCTGGATCCTGCTTCACCATCTTCATCAAAACACTCAGAATCAACTGAGGTAAATAGATCACTTACATTCAAGTGATTTGTGATAAAACTGAAAATATTAGACATTTACTTGAAAGTTCCATGTTCATTTACTCACAGCCTAATTTACCACTGAATTTAATCGATTTTAAATTCATTGCAATTGATATATCCACACCCTGGTGAACAACGTTTAAGTAAGCTTTCGATGAATAATATGGTGTGGAAACTCTGTTTTATCCAGAAATACAAGCAACTAAAAATTACCACAAGTCTGAAACCTTTCAGTTTAATCTCAGACAAATTACAGCTGGCAACACTCTCACAAACAGCTCTTTTCTGTCCAGCACTCCTCCAGCTACTGACCTGACTGCAGAGATAATGACCGAAGCGGGCGAGGCCCTGCTGGTGGAGGCCCAACAGAGGGAAGATCTTGAAGAATCTCTCCACCTGTGCAAGGTCGACTGCTGCTACGGCTTCATCGAGCTTCTCGGCGACGATGACCTTCAGTTTCTGCTCTGCCTCCTGCAGCATGACCAGACTGGCGTCCACGTTGCTGCCTGTGCAGACACATCGCTGGTGTTATAGTGTCTGTCTACTGACACACACATTGCAAGCCAAAGCATATATTCTTTAGCTGCTACATACTGCTTACTTACAGTGCAGTAAAAAAGCAGCTTCACAATCATTGTAATAAGATCTGTTGGTTAGTCAAACAAGCGGTCTGAAAAGCAACCAAAAGGCTGACAGAGAACTAGAGGAATCGTACTTTCTTCTCCCTGCCTGCTCAGCTCAATAACCGACTGGTCCAGAGAAAGGTATCGATGGATGTGAGCAGCAGCCTGTTCATAATCTTCATTGCGCAGAGCCGTCTGCACTCCATCAGTGCAGAACTTCAGATTGAGGATGTCATCAGCACGCCGGATGACGTTATATAGCCTCGTCTGCAAAAGAAAATGAGATATATATAATCAGAGATCAACAGTTAAATCAAAACCTCCAAAGGGAAATAGCATGTTTTGCAAAAAGGATATGTTGCAGTAAAACAGGTGTCAAGATGCACGTTATTAATACTTATATGAACCTACAAAAAGTAAACTCTTCTCTGTGAATAAAAGGTTAGATTAGATCAGATTGCACTTTATTCTTCACCACCAATGGGGAAACTCATTTGTTGCAGCAGTATAGATAGAGGAAAAGAGCACAAAAAAGCAACAGGAAGAAAAACAGAACAAATAAAACTAGAAACAGGAAGAGCTGAGAAATACAAGACAATAGAGCTACACACACTACATACACACTATAGATCCAAATAATTAAATCGGTGAGGTGGCCTTCCCTTCATACTCACCACTGGTTTCATTTCATTTACAAATCACTTCTGGCCCAGACACCTCCCTACCTGTCCTCTCTTCTTCACGTCGCCCATAATCCTTATCATACCAGGTCTAGTGAATACATCAAGCTCATCATCCCCAATACTTCTACTATTTTTGGCCGTAACTCCTTTGCAGCAGCTAAAACAAAACAACTTCAAACTTGCAACTCTGACTCCGCTCACCACCATCAAGCTTAAAATCCAACAGATTGTCGTCGACTGTTGCTCCTGCTGATCACGCCGGACTATACTTGCATACTTATACACACACTTTCTTACACCTCATGCACATCGTTTTTCACTCACATGCGTATGCCCTCATGCTTCTTACTTGTTTACTTTTGTTCTATGTTATGTTTATGTGTCTGCTTGTGCCTGTAATTTACATGTGTATTTGTTCCTGTCTCTTGGCCAGGTCATGTTTGCAACTGGTTCTCAAACATTTTGACCTGGTGAAATAAAGGTCAAATAATGGAGACTATGATTTAAAATGAAATAGATGAATAGAAAAGGTTAGTAAAAGTGAGCTCATGAGGATTAATCACACAATGACAGTGCAGAGCTGATTCTGAATCACAGACAGAGGTAATTAGTGTGTGTATGTACCTTTGCCAGGTCAAGCTGTCTGACTTTGCGGCTGACGTTTTCAGCCAGGCTGCAGGTAAACGTGATCATTCCCGACAGCTGACTAGCGTCTCCTCCAATCAACTGTAGGTTGGGTCTGTAGAGGAAAAAACAAAGAGTCAATTTTGCACCACAGAATTATATTTTAGGACCTTGGAGCACTGAGTGATTTAGAAACTCCAGACTGTACCCCATCCTCTGCAGCGCCAGCATCTTTGTGTGAATGCTCCCCTCCTGCCCCACCAGTCGGTCCAGCTCAGCTTCCACCTCCGTCTGTAATGACAGAGAACAAAACATGTCATGAGCAACAGGAAAGTACTTTTTATTTTAATCTTTATCTTATACATGGTACATTGGGTGTATACGGTGTTACGCACATTTTGTACGCATCAGATTTTTTTCATCTAGTTTCCACCAGTTTTTACATTTTCTGTCAAAACACACAGCTGTACAAATAACTTCAAAGAAATCATATAAAAGTAGTAATTATACTTGATGTCTGAGAAGAAGGGGGAGATGTGGTACTTATTAGAGAACATGACGAGTTTAACAGATTGCAGAGTGGGTTGATTAATCTTACTGCATGAACCGGGTCATTACAGGGCATGTTGGGCCTTTTCATGTAAATGAAAATACACTGAAACTAATCCTGAGTGACACTCTCACTTTGGGAGAGGGGCTTTAAAAATTCTATCATTTTAAGGGAATAATACATGCATCAATTAATGGTTGAAATAAATTATTGTCTTTATATAGTTTGTTTTTTATTTAATTTTTTTTATAACAAGGTTTAAGATTATTTTTAGGGGAAAAGACTTCAACTTTGACCAACAAACACAAAAATTGTCCCTTGATTTCCACTTTATGGTAATATTGAGTCATGGTTTTCATGACTTGGGGGTCGTTTATCATCATTATTATTTGTGTTAGTGGAAGTAATAACAATTGTAATAAAAACATAAGCCACAATAAAAAAGAGTCATTTAATTTGCAGCTGAATTTACAAAAAACAAACAAACAAAAAAACAAAAAAACAAGGTTATTGTAAGTCACCAATTAAATGCTGGTTTTCATTGGTTTTGGTACATTTTAGGTGAAAGATAAACATATTTTTAGACATACAATAATATAATGTATATTTGTATATACATATATATGCGAGAAAATATGTTTGGAGTAAAATACTTGTTTTAAGTTATTGAAACCTTAGTTGTTTGATGTATCAACAGTTTCTACAAAAGGGATTTTTGCTTCACACACTTAAAAATTACCATTACATTACTATAAAAGTAGTGCAAAAGAATCTTAATATGTAAACATGACTTAAATCCTGAATTCTTTTCTTTAACTTGGTTTTGTGAAGCACTTTAACACTGACTGGTCCAGAAAACACCGGACATGAGCTCTGAGTTACCCTGAAAATAAAACTCTTTAGTCTGACTGTCTAACATTAATTTATCCTAAACTTATTCCAGTGGACGTCTCTCTTTCTCTGCTTTGTTTTGACGTAGCAGCATCACGGAAGTTTACGTGGAAAACGGCAGCGACTGCAGGAACAGCGGAGCCGCCGTTACCGGCCGCCGGTACGAACCTCCTCGGCGCAGAGCTGCTGGTAAACTCGCTCCAGGTCCTCCAGCTCCGTCAGAGCAGAGATGGTCTCCATACTGACGGACGACAAGGAGCCGGAGTCGCATCTTTTCGCTGCCACGGATCCGCTGTCAGCCATCTTCCGCCACCGGAACAGGACGCAGGAGGAGCCGGACTCCCACTGAGAGTTTGCCCTGGGTGTAGTCTGCCAGGCAGCGCTTCAGTGAAGGATAACGCTCTCTACGGCTCGCTTGTGTTAAATCTATAAACCTGCCGGTAACATTTATACATTTATAACATAAACCTCATACATTATTACATTTGAAGATTGTGGGATTATCTCAGTACATAAAATCTGCCTGAGAAGTCCGATTGTGGGATACAAAAAGCCAAATCTAGGCATGCGCTGTCTACCCTCCGTATACGTACGGATGCCTCACATGGACAAACAGATGAAGGCCGCTTAACGACGCAAGTGCTATCTGACATTCCTGTTACAATTAAAGTCAGAACAACCTGAACTAAAATAAAAAATAGAAACTTAAGTTAATTTTAATCCATAAGTATCAAGTTTCTGTTGATCAAAATGACTTATGTTGCAAGACTGCCCCCCTGGAGGGCTTCTTCTACCAGCAAGGGGAATGTTCCCCAGGTCCTAGGAGAGGATGACAGAGGACCTGTGCAATGCATTCAGTTTGATCAGTCTGCATTACATATTGTACAACTGTACAATCTAACAATTCAGATCAATGTGTCTTAATAGCAGAATATGCTCAAACCCGCAATGATGTGACGAACAGTTGTGCAGGACAGACAGGCCTCTGTGTGCTCTCATTAATCAGTTTTTAGGATGTGGTTTTAGTACCACTGACTGGATTCTCTGGGGGACTTTTCCTCTGTGTTTCCAGACTTAGAATGTTACATCCACTGGTTTGTGCCAAAAATACCAAACTGATGTGAGATGAGAAATATGCATCAAGCACACACATTGGAAAGGTTTGTCTGGGGAATGTTTGTATCGATGGTCTCATTCATGCTTATCATAGTTTACCTGAGTATGAGGTTTTAGCAGTCAGGGTCAAACCATCCATCCATCATCTATACACCGCTTCATCCTCACTAGGGTCATGGGGGGCTGGAGTCTATCTCAGCCGACTCAGGGTGAAGGCAGGTTCACCTGGACAGGTCACCAGTCTATCACAGGGCTACACTTAGAGACAGACAACCAAGCACACTCACATTCACACCTACGGACAATTTAGAATCATCAATTAACCTCAAGATGTTTTTGGACTGTATGGGAGAGAACCCACGCTGCACGGGGAGAACATGGAGACTCCACGCAGAAAGATCCCGGGTGTCCTCACCGGAGATCACAGGGGAATCCGATGGTTGTCCTAACACAGATGAAAACACTGAACATATCCACAGAAGATAGGTTGGTTCATAAGGCATCTAGACTCAAGGCCCTCATTGTTCTAATTAATATTGTGGTTTGTAATGCATTTTAACATATCAAACACATTTTTAATTAATCATTTAATCACAAACTGATCTTTGCGTGGCAACATGTTCACAAGGGTCTTGAGGCAGCAGCCAATTCATTTAGGCTTTACTTGTTCTTCTCAGCAAATTAGACGAGAACTTTTGGGGATTTTTGTAGTACTTACAATTTATATTTCCCAAAACAACATCACAGTTATGTAAGTGTTCTACATGTTTCACTCCCTGATTATTGTCCTGGAGGTGTTTGTGATTTACTGATTCAATAAAGAACAGTGTGCAAAAATCTAATTCTCTTCCAAATATTCTCTCTCACATCAAACATTAAATCTTATTACCTTCAGAGTTCCTGCAGAATAGATGAACCCATAATGCACCAGAGGGAGCATGAAAACATTTAACAAAACTACAACTGCCTGCTTAAATATACATTGAATTACACTTTATAATAATCCTCCTCAACCATGTGCTTTTCCCAAACTTGCTATTACAACAAAAGGGCTAAATAATTAAACCTTAATAGCCTTAAAATGTTTCTTTTTTTTTTAATGGCACTTTAAGTACATTTTCAGGTACCTCCAAGAGACCAAGTTCAAGTCTCAGCATCAACTCAGGGTGTGATAATCACAACACTTGCAAAAAGTGCATCGTGGTTGAAAAAAGGAAAGACATGATTGACTGACCGACCAATTGAAGCCACAACCACAGCAACAAAACGGGTATTTACATGTCTAAACTTGTGAGTACATGAAAGCCTTTAGTGTTTAGCGGTTTCTACTGACAGCCTGTATGTTGCTGTTGTGGTTTTCAGTGAGGCGGGAAAGAGCTGAGCCAGATCAAATTTCTGTGTATTTGGTACCAGAGTGATTTCAGGGCATCAGCTCTAACAGGAACAAAATCAATTATACATGAACTGTTTGCAAAATATATTTTACTGAAAGAGAACTTTACATTTTTACATCCTTCTGTTTATGAATGCGGCCCCAGAGCATTTACAGTAAAGTTAGAATCAGTGAGTCCTGCCGTCACATTGTAACTCAATCATGAGGCTTACTGTCCTCTGGAAACAACACAAGTTCTTCTCTTTCCTGTTGAAACTCTTCACGTTTCTTGTGCAGCTCTGCTTTTTCCTTCTGCAGCTCTTCTCTCTGTCTGTACAATTCTTTGGCTTCCTCCTGCTGTGCTTTCCTCAGAGACTCTATTTTCTCCGTCTCTGCAGCTGCCTCTCTGGCATAGGCTGCACGCAGCTTCTCAAGCAGTTTCCTCTGAAGCTCCAGAGCTTGAGCCTCCTCCCTCTGCGTTCTCCTCAGAGCTTCTATCAGCTCCCTCTCCCTCCTGAACACTCTCCTCTCCCCTTCGGAGGCTTCTGAAACCTCCAACACGTCTGGAAGAAAGAGAAGGCCACATGTTTAGTCTCACCTTAGATACAGCAGAAAGTTTGAAACAATAACTTTAAACATGGAGCTGAATTATACACGTAAGTCAAATGTGGTGATTGCACAGACATATTTAAAACAAACTGTATTTTCAGAAGAGTCATTTATGCAGTCAAACGGCAGTGAGCTTTAAAAACTTACCTGGAACTTGTCTCTGCTCGGTCATCCAGACGGTCTCTTCAGTGTCATGGTTAGTTTTTGAGTCCTGTGGTGATTTTAGTAGTGATGGCTGCTGCCTGTTGGCGACCAGCTCACAGAAAACCTTCGGGTGTCTCTTTGATAAGTGCCGATGCAGGTTACTCGTGCCGCCGTACGAGTACTGTAACTTCTTCATGCAAATGCGGCAGCGAGCAGCTTTCAAGCTGTCCAAATGTTCAAAGTACTTCCAAATCAAACTGCGTTTGTGATTTTTACGTCCTACAGGGCGGTCGTCGCTGGTCTTTGCTCCTGTTATTTGCTCCTCTGGACCTCCTTGTGAAGCATCCAGGAGCCCATTCATGCTAGTTTCATTTCCTGTGGTCATGATGTCAGATTCTCCGTCCTCCAGCGGCACATCCACTGAATAAGAAGAAAACAAAGTTAAAATTAGCACATCTAACATCCATCCATCCATCCATCCATCATCTATACACCGCTTAATCCTCACTAGGGTCATGGGGGGCTGGAGTCTATCCCAGCTGACTCAGGGTGAAGGCAGGTTCACCTGGACAGGTCACCAGTCTATCACAGGGCTACACTTAGAGACAGACAACCAAGCACACTCACATTCACACCTACGGACAATTTAGAATCACCAATTCACCTCAACATGTGAGAGAACAGAGAACCCACGCTGCACGGGGAGAACATGGAGACTCCACGCAGAAAGATCCCGGGTGTCCTCACTGGGACGCGAACCGGCGACCTTCTTGCACATCTAACAATTCGTTATTATCATATGTGGGTTCTGTAAAATAACTTATAGTGTTTGGAATGTCTTAAAATTGGCAGAGAGTCCGATGTGACTCGTCAACTGATTTGTTTTGTCTGAACTTCACCTAAAATCCATTTACAGTCATACAGTCCTGCCAAAACAGAGCGGCAGCAAAGCCTCATTTCTGAGAAGCAAATACTTGCTGATTTATCAGCTTAATGATTAGTTGAGCAGTTAACATGTAATAAAAGTTGTGGGTGATGAAGTTGGTGTTGATCAGCTGCTGAATCCTCATTACATATTAAAAAATACATAAAGTATCTCATCTGTTTTCTCTTAACTCACAAACTGTGCCTCCAGCTTAAGTTAGGTTACACTTCTGAGTGACAAACTACTTTTTTTTTCATATTTAATGGTTGTGAAAAGGTGTATGTCATTCTAGTTACAATCTTAACACTGTTGGTAATCTTTATTTTATTTATTTATAAAAGCAGAAATGGACAAATCCACTGTTTTTACCATCTCAACCATAATGGACCGACTCTAATCTCTACATTTAGACTGATCAAACCCATAACCCTGAACGTAGCTCTAAAGTAGACTCTGGTAACTGTTTAAACAGTTTCAGATCATGAAACACTTGTGCTATTTGTGAAAATACAAAAAAGGGGGATTTCACTGCTTTTTCATGAGTATCAGACGAGGGCCTTGTTTCCTCAAAGGTAAAACATCATTCAATTCATCTTACAGATCAAGTTCAAGGGGTTTTTCTAACATTGTCCTACATAAATGATTCTCATGTTACAGCCCATGGACCACAGCAGGCTGGCTGCCAGCTGGGCCGCCGACCATCTTCTAATTCACAATGATAACGAGCTGATTCAAACTGGGAATGTTTTGTGTCTGTTAATATAGTAAATGTTCAGTAATGTTGGTTGTAGATTAACGAGTACTTCCTAATCACTTGTAGGTGGTTAAGCTAATCATTAGATCGTGTGGAACCAAAAGCTGTGTATTTTATTCTTGCTTTTGATCGTTTTATAATCTGTACTTATATCACGAACACTAATGATATTTGTTTAACACAATTTGATGCAAAATGAGTGATTTTAATTGAGGAACTAAATGAATTCTGAATTATTTTGCAGCATTATTCTGCCATTTTCTGTCATATTCTCCTTCTTCTAATTTACAAGATGAGGGAGGAATAGGAAAATAACTTCTGAGTCATTTGTGTCTACCAGGGCTGGGACAATGTAAAACATAACGGGCCTGTTAAATACAGATAAAAAATAAATCATCATGAGTGTATTAACTACAGAGAGTATTGTGACCTTTGAAAACAGTCATTTATGCAGTCAAACAGCAGTGAGCTTTAAAAACTTACCTGGAACTTGTCTCTGCTCGGTCATCCAGACGGTCTCTTCAGTGTCACCGTTAGTTTTTGAGTCCTGTGGTGATTTTAGTAGTGATGGCTGCTGCCTGTTGGCTACCAGCTCAGCAAAAACCGTCGGGTGTCTCTTTGATAAGTGCCGATGCAGGTTACTCGTGCCGCCGTTCGAGTACTGTAACTTCTTAATGCAAATGCGGCAGCGAGCAGCTTTCAAGCTGTCCAAATGTTCAAAGTACTTCCAAATCAAGCTTCGTTTGTGCTGTGTACGTCCTACCGGGCGGTCGTCGCTCGGTCCTGCGCGGGCTAATTGCTCTGCTGGACCTCCTTGTGAAACATCCAGGAGCCCATTAATATCAGCAGAATTCATACCAGGTTCATTCACTGCAGTAAAGGCGTCAGAGTCTCTGTCCTCCAGCGGCACTTCCACTGAATAACAGAAAACAAAGTTAAATTTAGTCCTTCAACTAACATGTCATAATCAGTAATTAATAAATTACAAAAACGCATACAATGTACAAAGTCTAAATATAGTAAAAAATACCCATCCCAAGATCACACAGCCCGATGTTTGTTTTGTCTAATCAAAAATCTATTTAGAGTCATGTAAAAACAGAGAAGCAGTCAAAGCCTGATTTCTGAGAAGCAAATACTTTGGTATTTGACTGGTTGAACACAATCTATACCCAGAACAGTGGGATTTATTTGGGATTCATGGGAAAAACTGAGTTGCAAAACTGTGTGACAGATTCTCATTTTTGTTTTTTTTACACCTTTTATCAAAGGGTGTTGGGCGTTCTAGTTAAAAACTCAACACTGTTTCTAACATTCAAATTATGTCCATAAAGCAAAAAAGGGACACTTCTACTCTACTGTCTGTCCAGACAGTAAGAAACCAGCTGTTGCCTGATAATCCTACATTAGAGTCTTCAAAGCTACAAACTTCCACTCAACAAGTAGACCAAGGTTCAGACTTTTTATACTCCCTGCACTGGCTTCTGGTTAAATACCAAACTGAATATAAGGCCCTAAGTCTATGACTTTCTGACTGATCTCATCCCAATATATGTCAGAGAGATGTTTGCTGAGTATAAGTCTGGAAGGTCTCTCAGATCTGCACAGGCTGGTCAGTCAGTGATGCCCAGACTTGAGACCAGACACGGTGAACTAGTGTTTATTCAATATACTTCTGGAACCAGCTTTTCTCCAAACCTAGATTTGCTCCAAATGTAGCCATTAAAAAAACAAAAACAAAAACCTTAAGCTCAAGACAGCTCTTTCCACTAATTTTAAATAATAGGTTATATTTGACAGAGTGTAGTCCTAATCCTGCCTTTATGTTTATTAAATCTCTTGTGCTTTTAATCAATTAATTGTTTTCTATGTTATTGTATACTTATCTCTTTTATATATACATCACAGTCCAAATTAAAATCCAAGCGGATTTTAAATCTGCCTATGCAAGATTAACATTTTGATTTTGCCAAATTAAAATCCTTCTTATGTCGTAATGAGATTGTAATCCTGCCGGGGCAAATTTGAAATCTATAATCTCCACATTTCACTATGGTGTGAGCCTCAATTTCTTTAAAGGGTCACATCAACACTTTCATCCAAACACATATGAAGAGCTGTGACACATCTTTTGTCATGTTAAACAGTCACACACGACTGGTACAAACACAACATATATATATGAATGGTTTTAATTTGGTCTAGGAGGTGAAATCAATCTCGTAATTCTGATTTAATTCAGATTTTTAATTTGGTGTGGTCAAATTTTAAACCTCACAATCTCAATTTGTTATAAGGATGATTTCAATTTGGTATTGACTAAATCTACATTTTAATTTTGCCCAGGCAAGATTACAATCGCATTATGATATTAGAAGGATTTTCTAGGTGGAATCAAAATTTCAGTCTTGCCCAGACCAAATCAACTGTGACATGTCACAGTCCAGATTAAAATCCAGACAGATTTTAAACCTGCCTAGGTGAGATTAAAAGGTTGGTCTGGGCGAAATCAAAATGTTAGTTCTGCCTGGCTTTTAATTTGGACTGTGAATCTGTTTTAATTGTATTATCAAATGAATGTGCACTTTACTCAGATTCTCAGCTATTGGTTAATTAATTCCAGGTTTGATGAGTATAAATGTAGAATTTTTTAAAGTTGCTTTCATCCCTGTTCTGTTGTCATCTGGCTGGAATAAACACTTCAAGCGATTAATTTAACTTTCCTCAGCTGCAGAACAGAAAACCTCGTTGGTGTTACAACACATCTACATGTCAGCATCAACATTCAGGGAAGAGTCTCTGCCAGGAAAAACCTAAAATGATGCTACTGCAAACTAAAACTCGACTCAAGTATTAAACTACCGATGATTTCAGCAGCGGTACCGTAGCCGAACAGTTTCTCGTCCCCGTCCATGTCCTGTGTGTCGTTGCTGGCGGTAGTTGGAGCCTCTTATCCGTTACTTTCGCTGCGGAGCACCGTGGGATGTTTCACCCGCAGGTGTCTCAACATAACGGTGCTGAGCGTGATGGTGCCGCAGAGGAGACCCTGGACCGACTAACAGTTTATGATTTTAAAGAAACCCCAGACGAAAAGTTTCTTCCGAGCCTCCTCCATCGATGGCTTCGAGTTTCCGGCTCATAATCTGTATCGTCACAAGAAACGAAGGCATTTTTTTAAATAAGCCCGTTAGTGCTGGAGGAGTTAGCTTTGTTGTTAGCTTAGCCGAACCGCTAACTCTCTGACCCACAATGCATCGGTGCAGTCCAACGTTACATCCGGACGAGCCGCTGTCATGACAACCGCCAATAACTTTGAATATTTTCTTGACTAACAGGATGAATACACCATAGAATATTACACTAATACTTTATATAATGCAAATAACATAAAAATATAATTTATATAAAAAATAAATATTAACAATGATCTTTTAGTTACAAGTTCAAGTTATTTGTATTGTGTATAAAAACCTACACAGTAGAAAACGTAAAAATATTATCGACACTTTAAAGTAAAACTTAAATAGAATCAGGAAATTTGCATTAGACTCAGAATGAAGCCATTTTACATGTTAGGACTTTGATGCAGTAAATCCCAATAATTTCAAAAGTCATTAAAAGTAAGAGAAATATTTACAGTGTGCAGGAATGTGAACATCATCCCACTGAGAATGTGCAACACTACACATTATGTAGTGAAAACAAAAAAACGTGCAAAGGATAATAATAATCCTCTTTAAAAAGCTGTGTGTTAGTGTAA